AAAAAAAACAAGCAACAACACAGAAATTTTAAAAAACTTTAAACACATCCAACATATAATGATTTAGCTTACACAGATATTTTAATATTGAAAATGAAACATGCTTGGTACTTAGAATTTCAATTACGATTGCTGATTATTAAATGCTTATCCATCGTTTTCATAATATTAGAATCTTTAACTTTATTAAAGTATTGCTAATCCATCTGACGACTCATGGAATTCTTTTAACGTCTTTGAGTTTTTAATCTTCGAAATATTTCAATAAAAATATACATATAACATAAATTGTTAGAGTTATGGCCTCGCCTTTCATTACAAATGAACATTATGAGTAAAATTGGCCTCCTCCGTAAAACACATTATAATGCTAATTTATAAAGTTTAAATTAATTTTGTTTACTATTGACTAAATTATTACCTATCATTAATTAATTGTTGACTGCTATTCTCTCTAACAACAACATTAAAACCACTAATATCCCAATTCTAGTGCTGTAATATTCGAAACCCTAAAAAGCAAAAACGCTAACGTTAAAACTCTTATTCATATAAAGAGACCCCCAGTGGTTTCGATACCCATGGTGGGCATAGCACAGATAGCCTATTGTGTAGCTTTGTGCTTAATTACAAACAAATAGACAAAAGATTCATAGATTCATAAAGGCCTTACAATAAAGCAGTTTATCAACACATTTTTCTAAAGTCATCAAATACAACTGATTACAAGGAATCGTTTATAAGTTGCACATTTCATAGAAATATTATACATGCAACACAACATGTTTTTATTTTCGTTTTAGTTCCTCCTAAGAAGCCAGTAATCAAAGATGACAAAGGTAAAGTTCAACAGAGTTTAATTGGACCATACAACGAAGGTGACCAGCTTATTCTTGAATGTGAAGTGGTCGGAGGTAAGACGTTTCGTTTGCCAATTACTACTTCTTTAAAAAAAAAAATACCAGCTATAAAATTGTGTTACTTGGAGAAGGTTTTACTGGATATGAGGTAAACGTGCATACACCACAACTTTATATTGTAATTAATGTTGACGGACTAAGCAGTGATATATCACCATTTAATTATTATTTTGCATTTCTTCAAATATTTGAAATGTATAAAACACGGAATATACTGATAAAATAATTGTTTCAATGTCTCCCTATAAAGTATCAATACCTTTTCAAGGAAAGTGGGACAATCATTTTCTTTTTCAAATTTAAACAAAAATCCTGCCTTGAAATTACTTAAGCCTAAGGTTAATATCTTATTGAAGAACTCAATAGTAATGGTTCATTATGAGAATGTCTCGTTTCAGAACGGTAACTGATGAGATCTATGAACCATCAATCAATATTTCCTTCTCAGAAAAGGTGACTGAGGGCTTAATATTTCGTTCTCAGAAAAGGTGACTGAGGGCTTAATATTTCGTTCTCAGAAAAGGTGGCTGAGGGCTTAATATTTCGTTCTCAGAAAAGGTGACTAAGGGCTTAATATTTCGTTCTCAGAAAGGTGACTGAGGGCTTAATATTTCGTTCTCAGAAAAGGTGACTAAGGGCTTAATATTTCGTTCTCAGAAAAGGTGACTTAGAGCTTAATATTTCTTTCTCAGAATTGGTGACTAAGGGCTTAATATTTCCTTCTCAGAAAAGGTGACTAAGGGCTTAATATTTCCTTCTCAGAATTGGTGACTAAGGGCTTCATATCTTCATTCATGTCTAGACATTATTTTTTTCTGTTAAATATCCTTGAGTCACTTACGAAAACAAAAATCTTAAATTCACCTGATTGGCTGATGTTCGCTGTTTTCGAAAAGCTAAAAGAAAGCCATCTTGTCGTAATGGTCAAATATAGATAAGTGCACACATGTTCCAAATAAGCACTAACTCCGCCAATAATAATAATGTTTATAAAGCCAAAAGTCTATTATTAAAAATATCTAAATCTTTAAAAAAAATAAGTATAAGCAGCAACATCTTATTAATTTTCTGTTGTAATGTCATTGTACTGTATTTGATTAAAATTTAACCACGAATGTTACTAGTATCAGAAGATTTCTATAACAAAAAACATTGTACTAAAATAGAGTTCCCCATGTGAGATATTGTTAAACTTGGATCATTCAGTTGATATTATTACGAGAAAATTCGGTCTATGGCATATTTTCTATATTGATGAGTTTCTCTTTTTAATTATATCGACCATAAACAAAAATCATTAAATATCATTTATCTTATACGATTCGTTAGTATGTTAATGCACAGTTTGAAAGTATTCAAACGTTTTGATAGAACATAGAAACGAATTTAAATAATTCTAACACAGCAGTAACTGAAGTTATTAACTATAAATTAAAAATCCCTATTTCATTTAAAAACACATAATTATAAATAGTGAAGCAAACGAATACACACACACCGGGAAGTGTTTAGATATCTTCACAAAATATAATAAAAATTTATACTGAAGCTCTTACTCTCTCTCTTGAAAGATATTGGAAATTTATGTTTCATACAAAATCTACGCTAATGCCGTTTCTCTAAAAGAATATTAAAAACCTATTTTGATTCGTCAATAAAAGTGCTATCTGAGGAGTAGTTTTAATGAAATTCGCGAATTTCAAGATTCTTTGCACGAAATCTATGTTGTTGTTTTTTACATGTAGTGGCTATGCCGATCTGACATATAATATGCATTTTACAGGAAATCCACGACCTAAAGTGATGTGGTGGAGAGAATCCGTGCTGTTAGATGATTCTTTCAAAGTAACAGCTGATCTGGTGGCTCGGAACGTGCTAAGGATTCCATCTCTTCAACGTCACGACCTTATGGCAGTCTTTACTTGCGAAGCGTCAAACAATGGATACTCGTCACCTACTTCTACATCAGTAACGGTGGATATGAATTGTGAGTTTATTTTGTTTTCGGACATTGCCTATATTATGTGATATCTGTTATTTATTATTTATGTGAGTAGTCAAGTTCCGCATGACTTTAGTTTTTGTATAATGATCGTAGCGCATATTGTTTCATATTGTAAAACTAACGATTCTTAACTTATCAGTGATTTAAATGATCTTTCCCATATAGAATATCACAATATTTAGTGGCAAGGTTTGTAGTAACGTTAATATGATAAGTTACTTAGCTCCTACAACACATTGAATCTATTTTTAATGTGAATTGCTTTGAATGCAAAGCCACTTGTCTGCATTAAAAGAACAGAGGGGAAATATATTTTATTATTGCTTACTTCTAAAACGTGAATACTAATTACACATGTGTTCTTAAGTTGTTAACCAATTACACGTGTGTTCTTAACTTGATAAATAATTACACGTGTGTTCTTAGCTTGATAACTAATTACACATGTGTTCTTAAGTTGTTAACTAATTACACATGTGTTCTTAACTTGATAAGTACCTATAATCAGAATGTAAATTAAAACTGCTGTACCATCTTGTTAATATTACGTTGGAAATGTGATAACGTTGGATATAATATTTTATAAAAATATTTCTTAATTTTGCATACGTACTGATTTCGCTGGAAAAATTATGTCACATTTAAATGTTGGTATTGTGTCATATACTTTACATTTTCTAGTTCAAATGTTCTTTATTTTAATATCAAACTGAATTTCTAATCATATCTAACTGACTAGGATGACACCTTTTGTGTTAGATAAAAAAAAATTCAACAAATAATTACTAAAAAACATATATAATCACAATGAAATACATCGATTTGCTAATTTAAATTTATTTTTTAGTTTATCACTTGTAAAAGTTTTAAGTTCCACTTAACATTTTATAAAAACTACAGCCACATTGTTATTATTACTTTTCAGTTTGCTTAATCCTATTTTCAGTGCAATCTCAGGTGCTAATTGAACTTCAGGTGTTAATTGTACTAAGTTGCAATAGTATCTAATCCACGATATTAAAAAAAAACTCGTACCTAGTCACATAACTGTGAGGACAGTATACAAATAGGCAGTCTTGTAGATATAGCTTTTTCACGAGCAGTGGTAGAATATATAGATATAATAACATTCATTGAAAATTCTAATACCGAGATCTCAGAAATTAAATAAGGAAATTAAATATATATATATATACATTTATTATGATAATGGTAACGATCATGCGAAATACAACAGTCGTGATTTGTTTCATTTTGCTTGACTTAAAAACATGAAACCCTTAATCTATGTAATTACATTATAAAGAAGGAATTTTTAGAGTAGTCATAAATCTACGTATTCTCAGGAAAAGTTAAGCTCCTAAAGTATGCGTTCCCTTATTTCTCAGACAACCGATAGAGGAAGTTATCGTATATTTCACCATGGATTTCTTCCGCTAACTTCTGCGTTTCATTAAAAAGCCTATACGTTTTGAGAGAAGTTTCGGTCGAATTTGCATGCTTGTCTATTACGTGAGTTTTGCCTCTAATTTCATCGGCTTCCGCAAGGGCTATGTTGTTAGGTCAACACGAGAAAAATAAAATAATCAACCTTTTCTTCACGTTCACAACTTTTATTTATTGACAGTTTAAACAAGCTTGGGTTATTTTGTCCGTAGACGTTTTTCATCACACGGAAAGATACCACCATGAGAATGGCCTTTGATGTATGATAAATAGATAATTTGCATTACGTTAGTAGCACTTCCTTTCTTCGCATTAAGCTCGCATCTTTTAACTACAAATTACACAAATAGCGAAACGTAATAATTATTGACACAAATTATTAACACTTTTATGCTTCTAAGCACTCTGAAAAAAAATACACTGTGTTTATGTTCTTACCCCTCTAAAACAATCTGAAAAAAATAGATAGCTCATTTCCTTTCTTCGCTTTAAGCTCGCATCTTTTAACTGCAAACCACACAAATAGCGAAACGTAATAATTATTGACACAAATTATTAACGCTTTTATTCTTCTAAGCACTCTGAAAAAAAAATACACTGTGTTTATGTTCAGACATTAAGTTCTTACCCCTCTAAAACAATCTGAAAAAAATAGATAGCGTATTTATGTTCAGGAATTACGCTCTTACGCCTCTAAAACACTGAAAAGAAAATATACACTGTATCTATGTTCAGGCATTACGCTATTACGCCTCTATAACACTTAAAACAATAGACACTGTATCTGAAGCCTTGTAATGATAAATATAACACTAATTAGTGTATACATTTGGTTTGGTTGTTGCTAAGCGTAAAGATACATAATAGGTTATCTGTGCTCTAGTTACCATGGGTATTGACGCCCGAATTTTAGCGTCATTAGCTTTCGGACTGTGTCCCTGAGGGGGAGTCATTACTTATATATGGATCATATATATATTTATACACATGAAAGATAGCTTTCACATTCTGCTACAACTAACATGGCTTCCAGTACAAGGTAAATTGAAACAAAGAACATAAATCAAACAAACTACGAGGCGTATTTCGTTAGAACTTTGAAACCATTATGAATAACTTTTTTTTTTCTATCAGAAGTTTCTTACGTAAATCATATTGAACACAGTCTGTATTAGAGATAGAAGACAAATTCACCGCTTTCCCAAGGCCGTCTTAATTTTCACAGAAAAATAATAACAAAAGAAACCATTCCATCCAAGATAGACGTTTTCTTCTTACAGCTAGAAGACGTAAGGGAAGTGTTAGATACGATGAGGGAAATATGGTGGAGATCATATTAAAGATATTAAATAAAAGAATGACGAGATTCCTACACAAAAATGATTTTTCGCGCATCTATGCGCAGACATAACGTACTTAAATATAACTAGCTTATTTGTTTTTTTCTGATCAGTTTATCACATTGGTATCTTCAATGACGGAGTCTTGTTTCACCGAGAGAGTAAATCCATCACATTAAGTGGAGCTTTAAATGATTGCTAGTTCTAATTTCGTTAAAAAAGTTATAAAAAACTGAATTAACGTAAAATGTTGGTAAAGGTACCAAAAACATTAAATATTTATTCACGAGGAAGAAAACCAGTTTAAGAAGCAGTTAAAATCCAGTTTTGGATTAGATGTGTTAAAATTATCATAAGTTTTGAATAGAAATACAGCGCTAGCTGATGTTAGATGTGTTAAAATTATCATCAGTTTTAAATTGAATCACAGCGCTAGCTGATGTTAGATGTGTTAAAATTATCATAAGTTTTAAATTGAATCACAGCGCTAGCTGATGTTAGATGGGTTAAAATTATCATAGAAACACAGCTCTAGCTGATGTTAGATGTGTTAATATTATTATCAGTTTTAAATAGAAACACAGCGCTAGCTGATGTTAGATGTGTTAAAATTATCATAAGTTTTAAATTGAATCACAGCGCTAGCTGATGTTAGATGTGTTAATATTATTATCAGTTTTAAATATAAACACAGCGCTAGCTGATGTTAGATGTGTTAAAATTATCATAAGTTTTAAATTGAATCACAGCGCTAGCTGATGTTAGATGTGTTAATATTATTATCAGTTTTAAATATAATCACAGCGCTAGCTGATGTTAGATGTGTTAAAATTATCATAGAAACATAGCGCTAGCTGATGGATGTTTCGTTATACATTGTATAAATATTTTTTCACACATTGGTTGGATGTTTCGTTATACATTGGTACAGATATTTTTTCACACATTGGTTGGATGTTTCGTTATACATTGGTATAGATATTTTTTCACACATTGGTTGGATATTTCGTTATACATTGTGTAAATATTTTTTCACACATTGGTTGGATGTTTCGTTATACATTGGTATAGATATTTTTTCACACATTGGTTGGATGTTTCGTTATACATTGGTATAGATATTTTTTCACACATTGGTTGGATGTTTCGTTATACATTGGTATAAATATTTTTTCACACATTAGTATAGTTTCTTTTAATACAAATGTATGGTATGTTTTCCATGATCATATTTACCTCCTGATGATTGATATGATCTATTCATATACACATAATAGAATATGATTGTATGCAACGATATTCAGGTTTTAAAAATTTCAGATTCATTTCCAGGCAAAGCAAAATATATATAATATACCAAAAATAGACCTTTATAATAAAAAACCTGGTCAAAATGCAGATGATATTTTTTTTAAATAATTTACGGAACTAATATTAGAACAAAAAACATATCTAACCTAATTTAGAAACTGGTTTGCATCATATCTCTTGTTTTCCCGAAATAGTTTTCGTATTTTTCCTTTTTTATATTTCCATTTCGTAGCATCCAATAGCAAGTCTGGTTTTCTGTTTAACCTTTATTTTGTTTAGTAGGCCTAACTCAACCTCTGTTGAAAATCTCCATTTTTGCTGATGCTATGGCAACATCTTCGGCTTCCTTGAATAGAAAATCACGTTCCGGATATACTTTAGCACATCTGTGGCTAATCAATATGTTATTTATTTATTTTTACCCTTATCTTTATCACTGGCTTTCTTACCTTATTTATTAATACAATGAGGGAGGAATAGATGCACATATACTTTCACTGACCATCCTATTTACTTCATCGCCTACTACGTTTCCTAAAAATAGATCTTCATCATAATACACTTGTATAACTAGTTATACAACAAACTCGTAATTACTTAACACTAACTTTTTATTTTCTAATTACAATGTTGAAGTAATTTATTTTAAAATCTAACATTACGTTCATATATAACATACTCATCATGTTCAAATGTTAAAAAATAAGAGGTTTTTCACACACGACTTATCCGTGTCTTACAAGGTGTGTGAATTGGCTGAAAAGAAATACACATTTTCAGGTTTATGTAAAGCAACACAACAATGGGATTGTATGCTATTAGAGACTGACTGTTTGTTTTAGAGCAAAGCCACAGTGAGCTATCTTGGGCGTCCATCGAGAGGAATCGAACGCCGGATTTAATCGTTATAAAACCGCTGTTCCGCTGGGGGGAACACACTGTAACGCCAACTAGTATTTCTAAAGTTTGAGTGTGCAACTTTATAAAAAAAAATTTTAACCGGATTGAACAGCATGTAGTTTATATTTATACAGGGGTTGTTCATTTAGAAACGGGATTTCTTACAACTGTGTTGGATACGTGTAAGAACCCGAATACCCTTCTTAAAAACTCAGCATCCAACAGCTGCTAGAATTTATCTCACTGCAACATGATAATACGAAGCTTCTTACTGCTTGTAATGTATCAGAAGTTCGGATATCCCTCTCACATATAGCCCTGTTGTAGCGGCACATTACTTATGGACATGCGCAGGAGGTGGTCCAGGTTGGCCATCGCCCAGTCCATTGAGAGAGAAAAAACAAGAATCAGTTATTATATTATTAATTTTCGGAGGGAAAAATAATGCGGGGAACATTTTCTTTATTCTCTTACGAAGGAAACATTCCAACACAATAGAATGTAATCCATATTTACAACTGGATATTACTTTCAGACAACCGATATTCTTAAAGCAGTTGTGTAATTACATTCGTCAACCGTACTTACATTTTACCCTGTCCCCCTCAGTGGCACAGTGATATGTCTGCGGACTTACAACGCTAGAATCCGGGTTTCGATACCCGAGGTGGGCAGAGTACAGATAGCCCATTGTGTAGCTTTGTGCTTAATTACAAAGAAACAAACATTTTACCCAACTTCGATGACTATGCTCAGGGAAATTGTAGAGGAAATGTATTTCATATCTACGGCGTTATGTCGGTTAATGAAGTCTTACTGCTAAATTATAAACATCACAGGTTAATTTTTGTGAATTTTACACTAATGTGTAATAATATATGTAATATTGTTTGTTTGAAGTTAAGCACAAATCTACACAATCGGATATCTGTTCTCTGCCTACCACGGGTATCAAAACCCGGTTTCTAGCGTTGTAAGTCCGCAGACATGCCGCTGTGCCACTGGGGGACAGTCTAAAGGGAATAAAATTCACTTTGATAATAAAAAATTCTTTCATCAGCCCAATGTAAAGAAATATAACTTGTATAATTTCAGAATTAATATTTCAGCTTTTCTTTAAAATATTAGGTATCAATGAATTTATCAATTAAACAAATTATCAATTCTGTTTCCAGGTAGGAGAGGGTCTTCCCGTGAAAATAACGTTTCGTGATAAGGAACTACAAGTTTTATCATTATTTCTAATTTTGCCATATCATGCGCTTTGTTTTTTTCCTATTTTCATTGCCTAAAATATGGATGAACACACTTTGGAAATGAAACATATGCTCCTCACATAATCGTTTGTTTGTTTACTGTATTTCGCGTAAAGCTACTCCTGGACTATCTGCGCTAATTTTGAAGTGATAGACTAGAGGAAAGGTAGTTAATCAACACCACCCGCTGCCAACTCTTGGGATAATCTTTTACTACCGGATGGTGGAACTGACGCTCCCACGGCTGAAAGGGCAATGACGGTATTCGAACCCAGGATTTACAGGTTACAATTCGAGCAGCCTAGTCACCAGGCCATTTCAGCCCATCCTGACATAAATATACCATCATAAATAATATTCAACGTTAAACTGGTACACAATTAAAAACATTTGTGACGTCGAAATATGTAGAGTCGTCTACTTTTTGAAAGCCATAGATAGGCGTAAATTTTATTTATGATTTTAACTTTATACACAAGTGCGAAAATACTATAATTAATAAATATATCATATTGAGTTACTGATAAACTTTTGCATAGGAGTAATATTAATTATTGCAGAAATGGCCACTCGATTCTAAGATAAATTATCTCTGTCACTTTACTCATAATTAGGTCTCCATTAACCATGTCACTTTACATATAATTAGGTCTCCATTAACTATGTCACTTTACATATATTTAAGTCTCCATTAACTATGTCACTTTACATATATTTAAGTCTCCATTAACTATGCCACTTTACATATAATTAGGTCTCCATTAACTATGTCACTTTACATATATTTAGGTCTCCATTAACTATGTCACTTTACATATATTTAAGTCTCCATTAACTGTGTCACTTTACATATATTTAAGTCTCCATTAACTATGCCACTTTACATATATTTAGATCTCCATTAACTATGCCACTTTACATATAATTAGGTCTACATTAACTATGTCACTTTACATATAATTAGATCTCCATTAACTATGTCACTTTACATATAATTGGGTCAGTTAATTCGGCCATGTTTTGACAAATTTGCATGCTATTCGGTACAACGACACTTTTCTCACACATTAACAAACAAAAATGGGTGGATTTGTTCAATTGTAGTAATTGTAGAGGGATTTTGTTCAATTGTAGTAATTGTAGAGGGATTTTGTTCAATTGTAGTAATTGTAGAGGGATTTTGATCTACAAAAAGCATAATTTTAAGGTGTTTTTTTTTGTGTTTACAATTACTCCGCCGTATGTCGACAATTTACACGGGATTTGGTAAAAAGATACCTTTTTACATATCCTTTACATATAAATAACAAATGTGGGATAATCCCTTTTTTTTCGTCATTTTAGAGGGTCAAAAGTTTAAGTAAACCCATAATTTTAGAGGTTTCCGTCAATTACTTAGACTTATTTTACCCATTTACATAGAATATGGCACAAAGATAATCTTCTCAAATCCCAAACAGAGGTATAGACAATTTTGGAATTTTTGTCTTTTGGTCAGTTTTTCAGGGAGGAAAGTACGATTTGGGGTTTTCATGAAATATTTGAGTGTATGTCAATCAATTTGCATGGGATTTGGTACAAAAATACTTCTTGCAGATCCCAAGCAGTGAAACAAACCATTTTTTGTCTTTCTATATTTTTTTACGAAATTTTTGGTATGAAAATTGGCCAGCGAATACTTAACTCTTTAATTTGCTGCTTAACTTATATAATTTCAACGTTTTGATAAAGTTAAAAACGGATCGCAAAGCTTTAGTTGATGCACTATTCACGAATGATAGATTCAAATAGGGAGATTTAAGTGCATACAACTTATATGCTTGCACTAACCATCCACCCGCTTCATCTTCTAATAAATTTTGTAAATGATGTGTTGTATCTGCATTCGTTATAATTGGCAACATAGAACTGTTTATACAAAAAAGTCCAAAAAAATGTTACACGTTTACACCGCCTAATAAAAAAGATGGGCCCGGCATGACCAGGTGGTTAGGGTGCTCGACTCGCAACGTGCGGGTCGCGGGTTCGAATCCCCGTCACACCAAACATACTCGCCCTTTCAGCCGTGGGAGCGTTATAATGTGACGGTCAGTCCCACTCTTCGTTGGTAAAAGAATAGCCCAAGAGTTGGCGGTGGGTGGTGACGACTAGCTGCCTTCCCTCTAGTCTTACACTGCTAAATTAGGGACGGCTAGCGCAGATAACCCTCGCGTAGTTTTGCGCGAAATTCAAAACAAACCAAACAATAAAAAAGATAATATTTTTTATTATATAAAGTAATTAATGCCATCTTTTCTATTAATACTACAGTTAGGCCTCTTGCAGTGAGCCTCCAAGGAAAAAGAAAGCCACTTTCGGCTGGAAAGTTTGCTCAAATCGAATGTCATTCTGTTGGTTCTCGGCCTCCAGCAGTGATATCTTGGTGGAAGGGAAACACTCGAATGAAATCTACTAAGTCTGTTGTGTCTGTCAACGGAAATGCCACCACCAGCATCTTAGCATTTAAACCAACGATTAAAGACAATGGTCTATATCTGTCATGTGTAGCAGAAAATCCATTGATTGAAGACCATCGTGTTGAAGCTGGTTGGACACTTAAAATACATTGTAAGTAGATGACGCTGTAATTTTTTTAACCTTGATAGATAATGCAAAAAACACACACAAAAAAAGGCAAACCACAATAGTGACCGAAATGTGGGTTTGAAACAGACTAAAAACGTCTTTATAGGTGGAACGGCTACTTGTTGAAAACCCCGTTTATGCAATAAGAAAGTATTAAAGGCATATATGTGAAAACAATGTGTTAGGAAAATATTCGGTTCAAAAAATTAATTAAAGACAAAAACACGAAACCCTATAATCTGAGAGCTTTCAAAAGGTGGAACTTTCTTCATCAAGGGATAAGGATAAAGCGTTCGGGTTATAGGGTTTCGTGTGTTAGTCTTTAATTAATATGTTCTGTTTAATCTTGTGACAACGTATTATTGACCTCGTACTTATATCTAACATTAGTTTGTTTTTCATTTAGTTTTCATCATATTATTAATGAAACTATTATTTATAGACAAGTAATTTTAATGCAAATTTCTACTGGTATTTGCCATCAACGTAAATCATCTAAGAAAAAATTCACGTGTTTACAGAGCAAATAGTAATCGTGAAACTTGGCAGAACAACGGTGCCGGATCAGATTTGTAAGTGTGATAAATTACTAGCTCTAATTAGTTCAATAATTTTTTTTTTTTTGCCAGCGGGAAAAAAGTGAGTTAAAATCAAATTATTGAAAAACCTAGCGAAACAGTACTTATAGTAAAGTTGTGATGACTGGATATCAATCATTGATATCATTAGTAACCTATGGGATAACTTGTGCCTAATAATCATTTAGCAACTAATCTATTTATTCATACTTTTGTATATGAATTAGTTTTTATCCCAGGTTTCAGTTTTTAATCTATCGTGTTATAAGAAGTTATGAGAAGATCTGTTTCTGTAGCGGTAGTGGCTAGGATTCGATCCTGGGTCTTCTTGATGAAAGTTTAGTGCATTATTCTCTCGAATGAGGTACTTAAACTCGAATTTTAGCGTTATAAATCCCCAGACTTACCGCTGAGGTAGAAAAGGAGTGGGGGAGGGGGTTTAATAATCTAAAAAAAATATAATTAAAGAGAGCTGGTGGATTTATGGAATTATGACTTTTCTTGTTTTGAATTTGTTAAAGATGCGAGGTGACCTGGTGAAGTTTTAGGGTTATGAATTTTTCATGATTCGAACTTATCAAATTGGGGTTTAACGATTAATTGAAAGGCTCTTTTAATGTGTTCCTTTTCACCTGTTTTTTGTTTATATGTTTATGTCATGATTTCCAAAATATATATTGAATATATGTGGACTTTTATCAACAAATACATATATGTGTGTCACCAGAAAATTCTCAAATTATATATTTGTTAACCATAATAGTACAAACTTTACATCATTTTTCCCTTTCGAGATGGTGAATATTTATTACTGTTAAAAGCACAGTAAGCCATATTAACCAGTGTTAACATGGCTCCAGATCTACCTCAACTTTCCCTTCGTCTCGGAAGTAAGTTACGCCACAGCCATATTCAAGAAGGAAACGACGTTTATTTTGAGTGTAACGTAAACGCAAGTCCAGAAACTAAAGATATTGTCTGGAAATTTGAAGGAGAAGAAGTGGAAATCAACCCAGCGGCGGGAATTATTGTTAGCAACCAGACACTTGTTCTCCAACACGTAAAACGGACCGGTAGAGGGCGTTATACATGTTCAGCAACCAACAGCGAGGGGCTTGGAGAAAGCAATCCGGTTTTCCTCAGGGTACAGTGTAAGCATGTGCCAGAAATAAATTTAAAGTTTAAATTTCCGTTGTTTTTTTATATTCGACGAATCTTTATTTTTTTTAAATTTTTACTCTAGGCCTTGTAAATTATGTACTGAAGTCATAAACAACTGTTTCTAGTTTCTTTCTGTTGATAATTCGAACAATGAAATAATCCTCGAACATTACACCACATCAAGTTATTTTGAATGATTACAAACAACTTTTTATAAGCACTTATCCTTACAAAAAGGCCAGAAAACGTTTATTATGATCATTTATGTTTTTGTTTCGTTTGTCCCATTAGAAGTCACAGCCTTCTTCGACTGATAAATAGTGAGAGGAACAGTGACACGTGTAATGGTTAGTGGAACAGTGACACGTGTAATGGTTAGTGGAACAGTGACACATGTAATAGTGAGCGGAACAGTGACACATGTTATTCAACTATGTTTCCTTGAAATAGTTAAAACGAGTTGTGACGCTCAGATTAAAATAACTGCTAGTCTTATACGGTACGTTATACTACAAAACATAGCTTTTTAGGATATATTGATGAAGCATCCTGTTCTTTTAGTACTACGTTTGTAATACTAAAGTAAATGTATTTCATATTTCAGGCCATTTTAAAATATTTTGGAACCAACTAACAAACAAACAAACAACTGATGGCGACAAACATTACATCTTTAATTAGTTGTAATCCACAATAATTTACTAATTTAGCCATGAATAACGCTTGATATTTTCACGCAATTTTTCTTCTTTTCTATAAGATTTTAATGTTCAAATACTTTTTTGTGCCCCCCCCCCAGTGGCACAGCAGTATATCTGCGGAATTACAGCTCTAAAAACCGAGGTTTGATACCCGTGGTGGGTTTGTTTGTTTGAAGTTAAGCAGAAAGCTACAGAATGGGCTACCTGTGCTCTGCCCACCACGAGTATCGAAAACCCGGTTTTTAGCGTTGTAAGTCCGCAGATATACCGCTGTGCCACTTGGGGGGGCACCCCTGGGGGCAGAGCACAGATAACCCATTGTGTAGCTCTGTGCTTAACTTCAAATAAACAAACAAAATATTTTCTAATAATTTCGATAATATCTAAATATCGGATAACACTGACTATTATAACACAGATAATTCATAATTATTTATATTGCCTCAATATAACGTATGTCATAATATGTAAGTTATAATTTAACATTTAACATTAAACTTGGAACATTTTATATTAACAATGAATTTATTTCACTTTTTTTATCAAATACTTCAACTGTAGAGTATTTCTTAACTAATTTGTAAATAATACATAATGGTCTATTTGTGCTCTAGCCACCACGGGTATAGAAACCCGGTTTTTAGCGTTATCAGCCTTCAGACTGACCACTAACCCACTAGGATGCGTTCGTTGTTTTATCTAGAATTAATGGAAACAAATATAAAATTGGGCGGCTGGTATCTGAAATATTTAAATCATTAATCGATTACAACAAAAATAATGTTTCGTAAAATAACATGATTGAAATATGAACACTAGGAATTAGTGTTATGTGATATATATTCAATTCAATTATTTCCTCTTGCGTGTCAATAGACGCTCCTGTTTGTAAGCCGGGTCAGAAGATTATTTACACAACGACCGAAAACGAGCCCATACACGTTACCTGTGACGTGGCTAGTGATCCAGAAGATGTTGAGTTCACGTGGAGTTTCAACAATTCTCACGACAACTATTACCTGAGTAACTTTAACTTCCACAAAACAAGGAGTACTATAGTATACATTCCAAAGTCAAAGTACGAATTTGGGAGTCTATCCTGCTCTGCCTCTAACAGTGTGGGAAATCAAAATGTACCGTGTGTGTACTCTATCGTTGCTGAAGGTAAGGTAATTTGATATAAATGATGATAAATCAAGAGTTGCATACCTTTCTTTCTGACGGTGATGCAATTGGTGTATTTACTTTATACAACGATAGTTAGAAATTTTGGAATCAGTGGGTTTGGTTTGTTTAGAATTTTGCGCAAAACTACACGAGGACTATGTGCGCTAGCCATCCCTAATTTAGCAATGAAAGACTAGAGGGAAGGCAGCTAGTCATCACCACTCACCGACAACAATCGGGATACTCTTTTACCAACGAATAGTGGGATTGACCATCACATTATAACGTCCCCACGGCTGACAGGGCGAGCATGTTTGGTGGGAACGGGAATTCGAACTCGCAACCCTCAGATTGCGAGTCATGCGCCCTAACCACCTGGAAATGCCGGGCCTATTGGAATCAGTGTAAAATTATTTTCTTGACATTAAATCATAAAAAGAACCATAATGTGGCCTTCACGTTACATGGAATCGGAATAAAATATAAGAACTGGAGATAAGGATTTTTTAAAAATAAAACTCAAACATTTATTTTCAATACACGCATTTTGTGTTTGTGTTTAGTTTGTAATATGTATATATATATATATATATACATTATTCAATTACTTAAACTGGAACAACTCACAGACAGTCTTATTATGATAAATTTGGATGATGACAAGAACTTCTGACAATTGAAAAAAATCAGCTTTTATTTAGAATGTAACTTATTGTAATTTTATTTCTCTATTTATACTCTAAAGGCATTGCATCTTACTTGTGGGAATATGTGTAAAAAATCAGCTTTTATTTAGAATGTAACTTATTGTAATTTTATTTCTCTATTTATACTCTAAAGGCATTACATCTTACTTGTGGGAAAATGTGTAAATTATTAATGATACTCATTTCCTTGATATCTGAGAAGTAAGTTATTACTAATACCCATTTCCATGATATTTGAGGATAGTGCTCATTTTAAGAAATCATGAATATTTTGGCTAAAATATTTCGTATTGTTTAGTATCAGTACTAAATTGTTATTGTAAAGTACTGCAGACACCAATAGCTTTTAATACACCGATTATGTGTTACATTATTTTCGAAATTTATACAGTTAAATATGTATATAGTAGTGAGTAAACTTAATAGAATTTGAATTATTTAAAAACAATCTTAATTAATAATTGTTTATATTATAATAGAATTTTAAAAACAATCCTAATTAATAATTGTTTATATTATAATAAGATATTTAAAAACAATCCTAATTAATAATTGTTTATATTATAATAAAACATTTAAAAACAATCCTAATTAATAATTGTTTATATTATAATAAAATATTTAAAAACAATCCTAATTAATAATTGTTTATATTATAATAAAACATTTAAAAACAATCCTAATTAATAATTGTTTATATTATAATAAAATATTTAAAAACAATCCTAATTAATAATTGTTTATATTATAATAGAATGTTTAAAAACAATCCTAATTAATAATTGTTTATATTATAATAGAATGTTTAAAATTTTATTATCTTCCTTTCTCCACTTCTTCATTGTTATCACACACTTGATTCAATTAAGAAGTGAAGCAAGCTCACAAAATGACGCAATAGTTATTTCGAAATGTTTAGTTGAAGAACAGGTATTTCTTAAACCACTTACTTGAAATGCTCCGTTGGTAACTAGGATAAATAGACTAAGATATGATTACGTGTTGTTGATAACTTGAATAGGTTTATCGTAATTGGATTTACGTTCAAGTGCGAGAGATGCTCAGAAAAAGAAAAAAAAACTCATATCTTAAGGTTCTTCTGCGTTTCACGGCTCTCTCTCTCTCTCAGTGTTCTGCAAGAAGAAGGCTTCCAGACAAAGAATGTTCTTAAAGCAGTTGCATTAAAGCGGATTCGTGAAATCAGTCTTGCATTTAACAATTTAGTATAATGAACCCTACTTTGTAATGGAAAGAGATCATTGTACTCAGGGGAGATTATGTTGAAAAAAATGATGGTTTTTATGTTTTTCAGACAAATATAGAATGTTTATAAAATGTATATATTTTGCATTTATTGTCATATTTAAGTATTTCCTAATTTTCTATTACTTACTCGACTTTTCAGCTACTTTTGTTTATTTTCAAGCAGGTTCAACAGTATTTAGTAAAATTTTGATACATATACTTTTCATACCACATCCGTAGTTATATTTATCTTTTATTATTTTCACTTAATTATCATATATTTCTCAACCCAGCTTTTCTGCAGCCAAACAAAAGGCGTTAAACCGAAACGCGGCTATATAAACGTTTCATTTTTAGCCGTGTGTTACAACTTTGTTTCTTTGATGTACATGTGTATTTTTTTCAATGTTCATCGTAAAAAAACTTACACTAATATAATTTTAAAGCGAATAATTATACTCATTTTAAATGTTTCATAACATACATTTGCCCCTAAGTTACAACATGTGTATTTTAAATAACTTAGACATGATATGCCTGTTATATTTTACTTAATACTACTACCTACCGTGAAAACAAGATTGTAATTTTTATTTTTATATATCTCAAAGCATAAACGGCAATATATCACATGTTACCTAAATGAATGGAGGTTCAATATTAAGGTAACAATAAGGTCGTTTCTATTAAGTCTACATGTGAACGTCAACAAGATTCACTGCTGTAAAGAGCTTATAGGTTTCAGAAGCTTCCACAAACAGCCAGTTGGAGTGAAAATAGCATAAGGGAAGACTAGTTCAAAATTTACAGACAAGTAGATATAGCTTTGAGGGTATAGGTAACGAGACTTTTCAGCCTCTCTCCCCCTCTCTGATCAATATGGTGAATAAACAGACTAAATGTATTAGTGTGGAATATTTGTTCAGTAATCCAAAAAGAATCCATACATGATCCATGCGAACTTCGAAATGTCTTGTGAAATAGAATTATATACTTGCCATTAAATCCATCATGCAGGTCATTTATGGGGGTTGAGGGGCTAAAGACCAGAACATTACTGAAGCTTATGGACAGACGGCAAAGTTTAGCTTAGTCATTACAGTTCTGAAAGCAAGCTTTGTCCCTGATGAAAAATAAGAAAACCATAAAGTGAATTGCTTATTATTGTCTTTGGATGAATAGGGTCTGAACTTATTTTGTAGGTAATGATTATGGAAGCCATTATTCATGGAAATCTGGGAAGGGGGGGTTTTATTCCTTACAACATTGCACCACTTCATCTCAAATGTCAAATATATCTATTCCTGGTTTGAAACAAATAAGATCTGTAATTTGTTTTTGTTCATCCCAGTGCTCCAACCAATATTTAATTGAATATTTCTGGGATTTCTTGAAGTAACTTTTTGAAAAAGAGATAGAACGACAGATCCTGAAATCTTACTAACGACTGCCAGTAAGACTTGATTATAGAGTACACACGGTAATTATCACCAAATTTGGCAGTGCTCCAACCAATATTTAATTGAATATTTCTGGGATTTCTTGAAGTAACTTTTTGAAAAAGAGATAGAACGACAGATCCTGAAATCTTACTAACGACTGCCAGTAAGACTTGATTATAGAGTACACACGGTAATTATCACCAAATTTGGCATCACTTCCCATCAAAAAGTTTCACAAAGCAGCAAAACGTGGCACAACTTTCTCGAGGCTGTGTCGGCTTAATACTTTTGGAAATATAAAGTATGTATCCTTATATAAAAGTAAAGTTATTACGACATACACACACATACATATGTGTATATTCTGAACGATAAAACTCAAATGTTAGAAATAATCAGACAAATATCTACACACAAATACTTGGAATTATGTTTTGATTTTTCTTACACATTGGTTTACGTGATGCTAAACAATTGGTCGTTCTTATTGTACACATGACAATGGCACTACAACATTATGATGTTTTCTGAGATAAAAGCTAAAGTAGTCAATTACTGCCCGAAGTCTCACTGCTCAGCTCCTTATAACTTGTTATCTCAATACTGCGGTATTAAGTCTATAACAGAAGCTGTAAAAGTGAACTGTAGGGAGAATAAAAAAGATAATATTGATAACTGGTCTTTTTTTTTAGTAAAACATAATGATGATTATATATATATATTCTACAGCGATTTACGGAAATTGGTGAGCACAGTCTAGTAAATGTTAGTCCATTAATTTTCTATACATGTCATAACCAACATTATTTTAAAAAGCTGAAGATCATTAACACTAATTTATTCGTAGTCGTTGTGACTGGTAAACAGTAATATTAGATTACCACTAACTGTAAACAAGAACACTATTACAAGAATAAAACAGTTTATTCTTCAGGATCGTAGATTTGAACTACTATTATTATTTCAAGTCTCCTCACAGGAATTGACACTTTTCAAACTTTTCCGATTTCATACATCCAGATACTTCAGCATGAATCTTGTGTGTTTTGGGAGGATATGGCTACTTTATTAGCTTTTAACATATTACAATCATACATCTAGATACTGCAGGATGAGCCTTGTGTGTTTTGGGAGGAGATGGCTACTTTATTAGCTTTTAACATATTAAAAGCATACATCTAGATACTGCAGGATGAATCTTGTGTGTTTTGGCAGGAGATGGCTACTTTATTAGCTTTTAACATATTACAACATATAGTGGAACACACGATGATTCTGATATACTTTCTTATTCGAGACTTTTAATACTTCATTTTCTGTTCATTACAGGCTGGGCGTGGCCTAATTGGTTATCTTGTTAGACTGTGGATCCGACGATCCATGATTTACGTGGCATTCCTGCATCTTGTGTCCATGTGTATTATAAAAGTGCAGATCAAATCTTCATTTTGATTAGAGTAGCCCAAGAGTTTGGTGGTCGTCGTCGTCCCTCTAGCTTATTAGCACGATATTAGAGAAGGATTAGGGCAAATGGTCAATGTGTAGTTTTGTGCAAATATTCGAAAGAAAACAAACCAAACCTATAGATTACTACCACGTGCTGTCCTTTTTCAATGCAGCTTGTACCTTCTTAGAACTATATCATTGAAAGACGTGCTTATATATATATACTTGGTATTGAAGCTTGTGAGGTAAAAAACAACATCAGCCCCTTTCTTGTCATCGAATACGCCCTTTCTATCCCAAAAGACTGAAGTGATGTAGTTATGAAAATACTTAAAGTAAACATGAAGCCCAATCTATCATTAGGTTTGCCACTTGTCATTGGGTTATACTGAATTCGGGAACCCCATCCCTCATGAGTAGCCCTGGCCAAAGGCAAAGCGAAATAAAATAATACAAGGCTTTATATAGTAGTGGAATGTATATTAGATTCACTAGAACGAGTTTAAGATATCTGAAGGCAGCCTACATATAATTTATGAAAATATTATTGCATTCACTAGTTACATATTCAATCCATCTAACTAACACTACACGGATACAGAAGCGAGCTTACCCAACACTAGGCTGTAGGCTTCGCTTTGGATCTTTGAAATACTTACCTATTGGTGTTGATTAGCAGTATTTGGGGATTTTATTGTGTTGACTTGACTATGTTTCTTTTGAATAAATTCAAACTATTTTTTACTCAGGGCCTCCGGAACCAGTACAAAACTGCACCCTATTCAACCAAACCCAAAATGGAATAGGAATAGACTGCACAGATGGATATGATGGTAACTTAATGCCACACATTTTCGTGGAGGTTTACGATATAATGACTGGCAGTATAGTAGCAAATTTTTCGTCCTTTTCTCTGTCATTCTTTATGAGAAGTCTTCCACCTGGTTTAAATTTCGTACTGAAAATATACGTCGTTAGCCATCAAGGGAGAAGTCAGCCATTAGTCCTAAAAGGAAGAACGCTACACATACCCGAAACACAGTCTCGTCAAGGTACGTAACTGGGCGTTATATTCAATGTAAATATTATACATTTAACAAACATTTAATGAATTGGGTAGAATAGTTAAACTGTGAACAATACAGCAAAGTGTTCGTAAATGATTTATTAATATTGATTTCTACGTTCTCCAATAAGAAACCTCAGCTAGTAAGCAAACTATTTTGTCTTCATTAATTCGACTTAGCCAAAGTTGTAGTTATTTATATTGACATTATACTTGATGAGGTCCTAATCAATTTATTATCACTTGTATGTCGTGGCTTTAAGAAATATTTCTAATTATATAATTGTAATTGCACCTAATAATCCAGATAATTCTGAGTTATGCACCTATGTATCTATTCTAATAAAAGTGCATACTATTTGTATTTAACTATACGTGCTTCTTACTCGCCCAGTTCCAAAATGTGTTCATGACGTTTAACTGGGAATATTCCAAAGTCTTCACCTAACTGATTCCTTCAAATAGTTTTTCTTTTCAAATAATTCGAAATTTCATTCCAAGCCAAGCCTAACTATTGGGTGCAACCTGTTAAGCCTTCGAAGATAAATTACCATATTGATATGGAAAGAGGTTTCTACTGATATTTCTTCTTTCCTGAAGCTCACAACCACGTTATCGATTTTTGCAACATTGAAGCATTGACTCGCTTGTTTCACTGAGAAACGAAAACGAAACCTAAACATTCACTTGATTCTTGAAATACCTACCTTCGAAGAAAATCATGTATGTTTAAAAAGATTAAAAATGTCTAAATAACTTGTTCAAAATGCGTATCATGACGGCTTTATAATTTGGTTAATTAACATAAAAATAAATACAAAACTTTGGTCATAAATTCATGTAGTTCCTTTCTACTGAACATACTGTTATTCATATATATTTATATATATATGTACGTGCGTATGTGGATATATATATATATCAGACTATAAGCTTGATAAACAAAATAACAAAAACCGTTGTACAAAAAAAAAAAGACAAAAAAATGATGATAACAACTTTGTTAGAAGAATAGAATTTTCCTTGTAAAAAGAAATATCCTTGAAAATAGCATCCAAATCTTAATTATTAATTCAAGTGTACGTCCCACCTGCTTACAATGAATCGAACACGCCTCTCCGTGACAGTATTAAATTAGCTAGTCTAGCAATTACCCAAGCTGCTGGTTTGATATTGACCTAACGCCACGTGATTCTAGTTCGATTCGTTTAGGCCTAACTGCTTATACCTCGCAAATATATAGACATATCGACAAAGGTGCTGCATTAACCCTAGAAAGCGGAATTGTCATAACAGAGAAAAATAATTTAACACGTGTAATGCGTGTAGAAAATTAGTTAGGTATGGTATGATATTGGAAGGGGTAATTTCAGCCAGTCTGTGGAAGACAGCTAACAGTCAAAAGGTATAAAAGAAGGTTTTAAACAGAACAGCCATGCTTAACGATACATGATACAATTCATTAGTGTAGGACAGAGTGATAGCAGGTAACCAAATCAGTGGTAGGTCACGCGTTACAACTGCCCGCAAATACCTTTAGATGATAATAATTTCCATTCCTAATCCAACAACAACATCTACAAAAGTGTGTAATGGTCTCCAACATGCAACTGGAGTCCTTATATCAGACCACACAGTTCAGAAATGACTTTACAGCTTTGATTTCATGCTAGGTGGCCTCTGAGGCTTGCTATCAATAAGTCACAATCAACAGAAGTGGTTGCATCAAGAGTGACTCAGCTCTTGTCTTCTCAGGAATGCAAATTGGAAACTCTTCACACAACAACAGGTTACGTGTGGTAATCTCAGGCTGTGGATTCTTATTGTGAGGATTGTTTGTTTGTTTGGAATTTCGCGCAAAGCTACACGAGGGCTATCTGTGCTGGCCGTCCCTAATTTAGCAGTGCAAGACTATAGGGAAGGCAGCTAGTCGTCATCACCCAACGCCAACTCTTGGGCTACTCTTTTACCAACGAATAGTGGGATTGACCGTCACATTATAACGCCCCCACGATTGAAAGAGCGAGCATGTTTGGAGGGACGGGAATTTGAATCCACGACCCGCAGATTGCGAGTCGAGTGCCCTAACCACCTGGCCATGCCGGGCCTATTTTGAGGAACCACCACGTTTTGACCAAGTATAATGTCTGACTCACATTCTCTAGTTACTGAAGTTGACAGTTATCTGATTTAACAAGTTTTTTTTTTTTCATTGTGCATCTGTGGGGAATTTTAAATCGATACAGCTTCACCTTTATGCATGATAATACCCATCCACATCGTTTCACTTGAAACGGCGCATATCTTCTCCTGGTTTGAATTCGAGAGAACATGCCATTCAGAGGTGTGACGACATTTCTTGGATATGATTTCAGAAAAAGAGAAGAAGAACGAAACATCAATTAGAAGATAATCTAAATGCAATGGTTGTCAGCAGGCTGCATTGTGAACAAGTCATACATTTTACCGAGTAAGGCTTAACAGGACAGGGCAACATTCGTAATATATTTTTTATCTCCCAAATCAATACATATATATAATAAATTAATACAACCTCTCCCATTCTCAGTCTTCATTTGACTGTGTGGTGATGAATTAATTAATAAATATTTCTAGTCAAGTCATGTAACCACTGAACGCTGAGTTTTGCTTAACTGTTCTGCAAGTATCATCTTGTTTTAACATATTCGTTGATGATTACGTACATATATATTTTCTGAGACAACCAAATTATTCTGTATTCTTACAGGAAAAGAATGGAAGCTTCTGGTGAATCCTGTTTTAATTGCCCTATTGTTTATTGTGGTCCTGTTTATTTTAATCGCTTTGTGCGCAGTTGTAATTCTGAAGAGAAGACAAATAAGCCAACGTAAAGGTGAGAAATGACGTAATTTTATATTATCTTTCATGTAAAAATATATGTCCTAAAATGGTGTAGTTGTGTAATAATGTGTAGAAGTTACTAGATTCGTGCACAGAAAGTAAGAGAATCAAACCATAACGCATTTTAACTAGTCTTCAGATCATATCGTTATATTCACAAAGTCCTTATAAAATGACAGTGCTACAGGCATATATATATATATTGTTTAAAATTTAACGCTTTACGTTTTAAAATGCTTATATTTAATCGTTCCAAACTAACGTTTCGAAATGCTTATTTTTAATCGTGCCAAACTAACGTTTCGAAATATACATAGAAGTGTCGTGAAAAGTCTGTCAAGATGTGTGGTCTAAGTCTGACTTTGTTATCTTTCGCAAAATCTTGTTACATTCGAAATATCGATGTCGAGAAACGGTGAGTACATCATGGCCATCTGGCAGAGCGTGATCAACAATATGGGCAACAATGAATCCGGGACATCGTTCTTATAACATGAAATTAACCTCAGTACATCGTTCTTATAACATGAATTAACCTAAGTACATCGTTCTTATAACATGAAATTAACCTAAGTACATCGTTCTTATAATATGAAATTAACCTAAGTACATCGTTCTTATAACATGAAATTAACCTAAGTACATCGTTCTTATAACATGAATTAACCTAAGTACATCGTTCTTATAACATGAAATTAACCTTAGTACATCGTTCTTATAACATGAATTAACCTAAGTACATCGTTCTTATAACATGAAATTAACCTAAGTACATCGTTCTTATAACATGAAATTAACATTAGTACATCGTTCTTATAACATGAAATTAACCTCAGTATACACTATTTTTGATGTACTATTTGATTTCGAAACGTTAGTTTGGCACGATTAAAAATAAGCGTGGATGATGGCGTTCCAGACTAAGTACAAGCACTTAAAAAACACAAAAGTCAAGTGGAGAGTTGAGATGTTTGTAGTCGAAGGGGATTCGCGTGTTTCCAGTTTCTTCGGTCATCATTCTCACGAAAGCAGCCACTGATTTCGAAATGTTTCTGAAAGCTTATGAGCCTTCGCCATCTTATCATTCTTAATGATCTCGTCAGTGGCACTACGAGACATCCACAGCCTTAGCAAAATGACTCTTTGGATCCGAGGATTCTCTTTTATAACCATATAGCCTTCACTTTGCGGATGAACGCATCGCTACGAAAAGGCTTAAGAGCAATTTTGGAGCCCATCATTGTCTTAAACTCTCTGCTGTGTTAGCTTCACCCCTTCCATGGAGAACTTTGAACACCTCATTTCTTTTTACGTGCTAACATTCTCACTATACCAATATTGTTATATGGGGAGGTTTTTGATAACTTTCGCATTGAAGCATTGCAATGCTGAATGGTCAGGAATTTTCACGGAACCAAATATATACGTGGCGGTAAATTTCCCACTGTATTAGCATACAATATAGTTCAATTATAATGAGGTTAACCCTCTGTATTAAAGCTTATCTAAAAGTGACCTTTTAAACTAAGGGATAAATTGACGTTTTTGTTCAATTATGTATCAAGTAAATTTTACATGCTTATTTGATTTTTTTCAGCTAATCAAGAGCCCGAGGAAAAACTTCCGTAAGTGTCGTTAATTTAAGTACATAGAACAAATGTAAGTGTCGTTAATTTAAGTGCATAGAACAAATGTAAGTGTCGTTAATTTAAGTACATAGAACAAATTTAAACCATTTTGTTGATGACCTTTTTATTCTATTTTTATCTCTGCAATGGCATTTCTAAGGTAGAGTAGAGTATTATTCATATCATAATCTTACATTTAGTACGGAAACACATGTTTCTATCTAATTATAAATAATAATATATATAAGCAATCTTCTTGTAGTCAGTGATGCCTCAGTTAATTATTGAGAACTGATCCAACATAATGTAATTATTATTTAACGAGTAACTCACCATAAAATATCATGAAACCACAACCTATAATTATTATAATTTATTGAATCATGTATTGGGTATTCTATCTGATGAATCTTTTTTTCAGATACTTCCTGATAAATTGGTACAATCAAAGCATGAATCAAGTTAGTGTTGTGATATCTCCTTCAGAGCTGTTTATCATTCAATATCCAATTGATTTGTGTAAAATTGTTAACTTTTTTCAGACAGTTAACGTCAACAATTTATTTTAATATCGTTATTTTCTTTCAGAAACATTCTATTACAATAGGAAACTCAAACCGAGCGTAAAATGTATTTGGAGTCGTTTATAATTCTACATATACTTTAGTTTGAGAAAATTATCAGCGTGTTTAGGTGCTAGGCATTTAATTTATATGAATAGACAGAGTTGTCTTATATGTAGAAAGCAAACAAAACAAAATCATTGTTGTAAATAATCTTGTGATTTTCGACATCTTAAGAGACTTTACAGAACCAGATTTGGTAGACAGCTGGAATGACGTTGTCACTCCATTTTCCTTGGTGTTATCATGATGAACTCGAAACGGTGGAGTAGAAGTAAAGATTGGGAATTAGTGTTAATATTTTCTGAGGTACACTCTGCCAAGAAACAAATATGCTTGGTAAACGAATCCGTTGTGTTTTAACAAACGAAGCAGTCAAAAATGTGCGCAAAGAGTTAAGTTTTATGTACGCGAATAGAAAATTTCATTTATTTCATATCAGAAAGAAATGAATTTATTGATTGGAGCATTAAAGCGCACGTTGATACAGTATCGTTAACTTCTGCAATGGGAAAAAAAACTTCTTTAAATCATTCTGAATCAGGAGAAGAAGATGAAAGTAATAATGATTTTTTTCTTTTATATTGTTTGTTCACTTTAAGGAGTTGAAGCTACAAAATTAATATGTTTCTTGCTGAAAATGTAAATATCAGAATTTCTGGCACAATAATATAATGTTTCTAAGCCTTTTAGTCTCCTTATTAATGTGGTCGGCCCGGCATGACCAGGTGTTTAGAGCGCTCTGAGGGTCGTGGGTTCGAATCCCCGTCATACCAAACATGCTAGCCCTTTCAGCCGTGGGGGCGTTATAATGTGACGGTCAATCCCACTATTTGTTGGTAATAGAGTAGCCCAAGAGTTGGTGATGGATGCTGATGATTAGCTGTCTTTCCTCTAGTCTTACATTGCTAAATTTGGGACGGTTAGGGCAGATAGCTCTCGTGTAGCTTTTGCGCGAAATTCAAACAAACAAACAAACCTAATTTTGAACAGATAAGAAAATTCCACTATTCTGACACACACAAGAGTACTCCAGAAGTTGGCGATGGATGTTTTCGACTATCTGTCTCCCTTCTGATTTCTCAGTTTAAGATTAGGCATGGCTATACGCAGACTGCCCTTTGTTCAGCTTCACGTGAAAATTGTGAAAGTACGTTATTGCAAAATATTACTATTGGATATTAAATGCTCTATATTTTTTTCAGTTATGAATTTTACGAAAGTTGAGAATGAAATTACAATAAGATGAACAACAAAATAGTTGTTAATATTAGATTGTATTATTTATTAATAACTTTCAAACGTATTCCGATAAAAATAATCAATAATCTGTGTATAAAAGGATCTATCCCCACGGTGTAAATAATGCAGGTAGCTCACTGTTTAGCTTGGCACCCAGAAAACAACAATAAATCGTCGGTTTATATTTTCACACTATAAACTAAAAGTACAATATACAATAAACATAAAACCACATAAACATGCAACACGTTCAGGGTAGGGAAGAGACTGCGGCATCGCCATTTTTACAGTCCTGGGTAACAAACTAAGAATCGCAAATAGCATATCAGGAAATGTTAACTTACTATTCCACACTGCAACTGAACAAAGTATGTTTTCACACAAACTGATTCTTTACACGTACCACCTTTTCCTTCGCACAAGACTTGTACTGGCCTGAGAATGAGACAAGTACAATATATGTTACATAGACACACGTAGAACGTTTCTCTTTCAACTAATCACACAGAGCAGTTACAAGGTTATTACCTCGTATTCCCACGAGAAAGTCTTACCACCATTAGTGGTTTCTACAACCAAACAATTCGGTAAGAACATAGAGAGAGAATGTAAAATTAGCAGTTGTGTGAACAAAAATGGCTCTGTATTAAAGTCCTGGCTGTCGATAGTTATCTTCTTTACTTACCTATAGTCAGGAAATGTTAAAATGAATTTTGGATATAATACTAACAGAGTGTTAGTATATGGTTATGATTAGGCAAAATATTTGTTTAAAATCATTGAAAAATTCAAACTGATGCTTTTGGATCTTATACCTGTTTGTTTTATCTTTAAGCACAAAGTTACACAATGGGCTATCTGTGCTGTATTCATTACACAATGGACTATCTGTGCTGTATCCACTACACAGTGGGCTATATGTGCTGTATCCACTACACAGTGGGATATATGTGCTGTATCCATTATACAATGAGCTATCTGTGTTGTATCCATTACACAATGGGCTATCTGTGCCGTAACCACTACACAATAGGCTATCTGTGTTGTATCCATTACACAACGGGCTATCTGTGCCGTAACCACTACACAATAGACTATCTGTGCTGTATCCATTACACAATGGGTTATATGTGCTGTATCCACCACGGGTATCGAAACTCGGTTTATAGGATTATAAACCTTTATTGTTACCGCTAGGGGGCGATTTTATATTTCTTGCATTCATTATTTACATCTAGAATCAATAGAAACAAATTTAACGCATCTTAAATTTTATAATATAATCTGTAGAATATAGATTGAAAATATCAACTAATTTTATTAATGGAGTTCTAGTCATATATTAACGAACTCCAAAAATGTATTTTATCATCTCATATATCATAAGGGCCCAGCATGGCCAGGTGGTTAGGGCACTCGACTCGCAATCTGCGGGTCGCGGGTTCGAATCCCCGTCACACCAAACATGCTCGCCCTTTCAGCCGTGGGGGCGTTATAATGTGACGGTCAATCCCACTATTCGTTGGTAAAAGAGTAGCCGAAGAGTTGGCGGTGGGTGGTGATGACTAGCTGCCTTCCCTCTAGTCTTACACTGCTAAATTAGGGACGGCTAGCGCAGATAGCCCTCGTGTAGCTTTGCGCGAAATTCAAAAAACAAACAAACAAACAATCATATATCATAAGAGTTGTATTGTTTAATAAACGATTATTGCTCCTTACTATTATATGATGTGTAGGGAGGGAACATGCATATTTCGTCTCTTTCTGTTTTTGAGATAAAGTATCATTGCTCTCCAGTGAGTCAGTGATAAGTTTACGACTAGCAACGCAAAAAAAATATCTTGAGTTCGATTCCCCGTGATGAATAGAGCATAGATATTCGAGTCTGTAGCTTTGCACTAAGAAAACGACGATAGAATTTAATCCCCGGGTGGATCAGTGATAAGTTTACGACTAGCAACGCAAAAAAAAATATCTTGAGTTCGATTCCCCGTGATGAATAGAGCATAGATATCCGAGTCTGTAGCTCTGCACTAAGAAAACGACGATAGAATTTAATCCCCGGGTGGATCAGTGATAAGTTTACGACTAGCAACGCAAAAAAAAATATCTTGAGTTCGATTCCCCGTGATGAATAGAGCATAGATATCCGAGTCTGTAGCTTTGCACTAAGAGAAAAACGATAGAATTTCATCCCCGGGTGGATCAGTGATAAGCTTATGAACTTACAACGCTAGAATCCAGAATTCAACTCCCCACGATGGACAAGATCGTAGGTATAACTTTGCTCTAAAACAGCAATATATTTTACTAGGTGAGGTAGATCAATCGTAAAAATAATGTTGCATTCTATGCAACTTCGCCTTACAACAGACTATTTTATGTACTTTATTGGAGAAGTTTGTTGCTATTATTTTCCTTATAAAAACCATAAATATATCCAGCTTGCATAGTGGTATTTTATGATATCTTGTTTCATATCAACTTTGTGTTTTTTTTTCCTTAATTTCTTAATAAGGAATGTTGAAATAATCAATAGAATGTATGAAACAAACTGTGAAAATGATCAGTTCATACACACTATGGATTGCTAACTGAAACTCCCCCAGTGGAACAGCGGTATTTCTGCGGACTTAGAACGCTAGAAACCGGGTTTCGATACGCGTGATGGGCAGAGTACAAATAGCCCATTGTGCTTAACTTGAACAAACAATCAAAGGAATGCTAACTGAATAGTAAGGCCAAGAAAAAAAGATCAAAGCATAATAAATACATTAGTATATATATATATATTATTTTCATATGTTATCTCTTTAAGATTACGAGTTTTATTATATATTTTTGTATAATAAATACATATGATATTCAGATATTTTTTCATTTTACTTCTAGGAAATATACAAGTCATCCAGAAAAGGAAATCATTCCTACAGAGGAATTCGCTAAGGACTTTTATGAAGAAAAATGTCCTGATGTAATTCCAGGTAATTATTTTATTTATTAAATTTATACTATTTCCTTTACTTACATTTATAATTAAACACATATATACATGATTGTATAACATGACATTCTGTTATGATAATCAACATGATTGTATAACATGACATTTTGTTATGATAATCAACATGATTGTATAACATGACATTCTGTTATGATAATCAACATGATTGTATAACATGACATTCTGTTATGATAATCAACATTCCGTTATGATAACCAACATGATTGTATAACATGACATTCTGTTATGATAATCAACATGATTGTATAACATGACATTCTGTTATTATAATCAGGCCATGTTTTTAATTATCTTTCTAGTTAGGAAAGACATTTATAATTAAACACTTAAACATATCATTGTGTAACATGACATTCTATTATGATAATCAGGTCTTGTTTATGATGATCTTTCTGGTCAACAAAGACATTTTGATGATATTTAACTATACATTACTTCTCGCCGTTTATTCAGTGTGGTTTAATTGTATTTTGAACATCATTTTATGAACAACATGTATGTAAATGCTAGTACATTATAAATAGGATTTTTCTATATATATTCAATAATAAATGTTGATTCTTTAGCAGATTCCAAATACCTGGAAATTCCTGTCTGTAATCTCGTCAGTCAAGAAGAGGGGCGAATTCCAAAACAAATATGTACTGCTGCAGGATCATCAACCCGAGATTTCGACGGCAACTTTGTAAGTCTCCCTTAAAATGTGTGCATTAAAAAGCTAAGAAAATAGAAAAAAGTCTCCCTTAAAATGTGTGCATTAAAAAGCTAAGAAAATAGAAAAAAGTCTCCCTTAAAATGTGTGCATTAAAAAGCTAAGAAAATAGAAAAAAGTCTCCCTTAAAAATGTGTGCATTAAAAAGCTAAGAAAATAGAAAAAAGTCTCCCTTAAAATGTGTGCATTAAAAAGCTAAGAAAATAGAAAAAAGTCTCCCTTAAAATGTGTGCATTAAAAAGCTAAGAAAATAGAAAAAAGTCTCCCTTAAAATGTGTGCATTAAAAAGCTAAGAAAATAGAAAAAAGTCTCCCTTAAAATGTGTGCATTAAAAAGCTAAGAAAATAGAAAAAAGTCTCCCTTAAAATGTGTGCATTAAAGCTAAGAAAATAGAAAAAGAAAAGAAATAATATAGATTTCAAGAAAAATACGAAACCTTAGAACTATTAATGTTATGTCATTCTTCAAATCATCAAAACAATAAACTTTTACTCATTAACACTTATTTCGTTATTATGTGTTATTACGTCTGTTCTTTAATTTTATTTTAATGATTCAAAATAGTTAAGTTTTTACTGGTAAAAAAAATAAAAATTTCCAAAAACAGTGGACATTTTCTTACATTTTAAAATATTATTGGTTATGAAATGATAATATTTTGAAAATAAATTATTTAATAATATCCTTGTAAATACAACGGCTTTTCATCTAAAAGTAACTTTATTTGTTTATGTTTATCTTGTTTTAATCCTATTTAGATACTCTACTTATAGACTGTAAAAAATTAACGATGTGCAAAAACATTTATTGAAAGAGGTTTAGTATAAAATTTAGTTTACCGATTCGTTTAAACAACTGTTTAGGCGAGAATTGCAATTTTTGTTTTTGGTTTACTCTTAAAATATTGTACTTTTATATTTTGACAATGAAATGAATTTCACGATTCTCCAAGGAAATCCACGAAATACACCCTACTGAAAGTGAGAATCTTCAGACGAAGATGTGGAAGGATCCAGCATTGCTCGAGGGAATCTCTTCAGAATATTACAGCGGAGAGTATATTGACCTTCAAACAGGATACAGAAGAGACGTGGCTAAGGCCTCATCCCTAACGTCACATGAAAGACACTTCAAACAAACGGACGTCTGAGTGCATTGAAATTGTGAAAAGTGATTTAGTGTGCCTTGCCTTTGCTAAGTTGTGTTGGTGATCGTTCTACTTTCAGTCGCACTAGATCCATTCTGTAGAAACATTCTATGAAATGATTGGCGCGCGGCATGATCAGTTATTCTGGAAAAAAAAACTATTGCCCTCAAACCCTTTTACTATTTAGAACTGAGTAGCGATAAATATTCACCGTAAAATGGCATTATGAGGAAAGGCTAGTGATCATTAATATTATGTTGAGGTTTCCGCTTCTTGACGAAGCCTTCTTTGAAACTCAGCTGGTAAACAATTTGAAAGAGTTGGAGGTGTGTGAACGATCTTTATGTTGAACATTGTTCAATATCAAGATAATTTAAACAATACTTCAAATTAAATTACACCATTTAACCTCTGTTCTAGACGAGTCTAGTTTTGTTAGCGCATGAAATAATACGGATATGTGAGTTGAAGGTGTGTGAACGATCTTTATGTTGAACATTGTTCAATATCAAGATAATTTAAACAATACTTCAAATGAAATTACACCATTTCACCTCTGTTCTAGACGAGTCTGTTTTTGTTTTAAGGATGAAATAATACGGCGTTTTCTGGCTTTGTAAGTTAATCTGCTAATAATCCCCAAATGGTACATATTTAACTTTAAAAGTATTGGTATAATTCCTGTTAATAATTTGCTACACAACTAAAAATGGTAATGTTTTTTTTATTGATAATCGCTCACTGCTCTAACCTGTATCATTTCATAACATAAGCCAAAGTATAATGATTGATAATAGAAAATTTAAGTAGTTATAACTGAATATTTACCTGACTGAATCTAATTTAACATCCTGTGTTCGAACATTTATGGTCACTAGTTAAAATCCGTAATGTGAAAGCATAAGTTATGTGAATGTGAGCACATCTTGAAGTTAATAAGTGAAACAGTTAAATGGATTAATATCTGATTAATTACTGCAACGTATAGTTAAGATTTTCTGATGACACGTCATTGAGATAAAAGTAACTGTTGTAATTGTGAAATAAATCGAGAAAACATTGTTCGTTTGGTATTTTTTGACATGGAAATAATGACCTTTTTTTCTTTACACGTAAAGCATCATCTTTTCGTTCTTTGTACAAGAAAAGCACACACACACACACACACACACAGCTGCACCTTCTTGCCTGATCTTAAGCTAAACCTGTATGAATTCCCGTTTATATGGGATTTCAAACTTTAGACAGTCTTTCTAAGACATCTGTTTTAAATGATGATTTCTGTCATTTATTTTTACATATTATTATTACGTTAAAATATATTATTTTTTTGTAAAATTTTTAGAAGCTGTTTAAGAAATGCGTTAACATTTTCAGTTCGTTTAAGTAACTTAGTAACATAGTATCGATTTATTTTAAATACAGAAAAAAACTTTGATCATTGCAGATCTTGACAACCAAACATGCTCAACCTTTATCAGAAGTAGTGGCATTTAATTTTTTTTCCAATAATAAATACTGATAATGAACCATCATTAACTGCAATAAACTTAGCCATTGAAAAACACATTATGATTTACGTGTCTTCATAGAAAGGTAGTTTTAGCTAATTTATTTATTGTTTAATTGTATTTAATACAACTAACTAGAGAAAACGACAACAAACAATTAATGATTTTATTACTAACTCAAAAACAAACAAGTTAGATATCAAGTGTAGACGGTTGAACCAATTAGCAAGTAGCTGACATTGAAACGAAGGTAAAGTGAAGCTTATAGTTATCTAAGATATTTTAATGAGCAGTCTCCAAAAGGATAAAAAAATGTAGCTCCAGTTACAATTCAAAGTGTTAAGTTCAAGCTTCTGTTAAAATATCCTATCTTCGCGTAAACAATTAGTTACATATTTTTTCCCTAGCTTCTCTGAAATTATAAAATCGATAGTTGCTTATGATAAAGGATGTGTTTGCACATTTCGTGATAACAGAAGGAAGTGCGTGTAAATGTCGAGAGTTCAAACAAGAAAAGCGTACTTTCGTTTTTTTCCTGTTTAACTGTTCGAGTGAAACACTGAAAAGTGCCTTAGAATGTACACAATAGTTTGAGAGCTTCCGTTGTCCAAGACTAAACCAATAAATAACAATAATTTCAGTGCGTATAACGTTATAGAATTATAACTTAATGACACAACTAGCAGTCTTCAAATATATTCTAAAATCTATTAACTTCTACTTAAACACATAAGTTCCTGAAGTGCCCTCTATTATTAAATATATGATAAATGAATTAAGTCATGATTTTAACGTGTACCAATGTTGTTAAAAATAGTTCATAACGTGTGTATTGACTGATGAACGGCCGAATAACAAGTATCGGGATGTTTGAAATCATGAGATTCCTCTTACTCTTAGAAGCGATAGTCCCGATTTTAGAAATATACAAGTTTTTTCTTGACAAAATATGTCTAGTTAAGTTGAATCTGTATTCAAATAAATATTAAAGTAACATCTATTTGTATACAAAAAGAAATTAGTAATACAGTGTCAGTTTAATTTTGATAAACTTTTTATTGCATGTTTTACTCCATTTTTGCCCAGTATTTTTAAGGTTTTTCTCGTGTAGACGCCAAAAACGTGGCTCGTGTTGTATATTTATATGTAACTGACTAAAATTAATGTATATTAGGGGACAATTTCTTCTTGAAAAAGTCTAAAATTGAGCGTATTATGTACAACGAAACTGTTGCGTTGTATAACTTAGTCTTGAACAGTTGAAATTTCACAAGGTATTACAAAAGTAAGCACACATTTTAGTCCCCTCTTTGTGCGAATAACATTTGATTTCCAACATCAAAACTCCATTTTCCGTTGTCAGTCTAAGTGCTACGCTTATGTAAAGCAATAAATGCACTGACCTTTAACAGATAAAGATTTAGATAAATAATTAATACTCTGTTGTTGTTGTTTTTTTGGCAAATAAATTTTGGACCGCTCTGTTTTCGAAAACTAAAAAAACTGTTTGGTACATTCGTAAGATACTTTCCCGAATTTCACTTAAATATTCAAATAGAAAAATAAAAGTATTTCTATTCGTGTTTAAACTCACAAAGTGTTCGGGAATTTTTATCTGTTATCACGAAATGTGCGAACACCTACTTTATCTGATTCAGGGTAATTTGTACTGACGCATGCATTGCAAACGCTTTTCGCGTTGAACATCTGTTGTTTACAAAGTATGCTAAAAATGAACGACAAAAGTTTCCTTCATTTAAATTCGTTTTAGATACACAAGTGGTAAAATATATTTTATCCAACACAATGAAGATAAAATAACATTTTTAATACATATATTAACATTTATTTGTAAGTAAACACCATCTCAACAACAGTAACTCTGTAACTTTACAAGTTATTAAAAAGAAGTATGATATACATATATTACCATTTATTTGTAAGTAAACACCATCTCAACAACAGTAACTCTGTAACTTTACAAGTTATTAAAAAGAAGTATGATATACATATATATACATATATTACCATTTATTTGTAAGTAAACACCATCTCAACAACAGTAACTCTGTAACTTTACAAGTTATTAAAAAGAAGTATGATATATATATACCAATACAATGTCTATTCACGACGTTTTCTTTTAAAATAAGTTCCGGAATACGTTACAGATTAATGTTTAACGAATCAAATCGAGAGAAATTAAAAATTAGAACTATTTATTCACGAAAACTAAGAAGAAACAAAAATGGGTATATCATTGAGAAAACACCTATTACACAGATCCTTCACTCATCGAAAGACAATTCATTTTCATCAGAATAATAAATCAATCGAAAGGAATACATGAAATATCTTTAGTAAAAGTCCTAAATATTTGCAACAAACAACAACAACATCATGTCATTCATTCTTCTTCATTTCGCAAGAGAAATAAAAGAGGTACACGAATAAAGATTCTTTGTTGTTGTTTTTTGTAATTTAGCACTAAGCTACACAATGGGCTATCTGTTCTATACCCCCACGGGTATCGAAACTCGGTTTCTTGTGTTGTAAATCCGCAGACATACCGCTGTGCCACTAAGGAGCCATGAATAAAAAACTATCGTATTTATAGATGATGTTATACGAGGCTTAAAACCGAGTAATTTTAAGTGAACAAATGTAGAGACATAGAGTAATGTATACGTTACGTTCATAACCTCAGCTGACCTTTGATTTCATTACATTTCTGCAGACGTCTTTCTCATTTTACTAGCACCATGTCTTTACGTTTCTGATTTTAAACGTTTCATAAATATCTTCGTCCATTCGTAGATATTTTACGCTTTTAAAGGGTGACAGTAAAATCCAGCTATTCGGCCTGATAAGAGTAGCTAAAGAGTTGGTGGTGGATTGGTTGACTAGCTGCCTTCTTTCTTATCTATCATTTGAAAAGTAGGGACGGCTAGTGTGGGTAACGCTAAAGCAGCTTAACGCTAAATTCAACAAAACAAACGTTTTGACTTTTGAAAGTAAATTACCTTAAGTATCCTTAGTTTTTGTTTTCGTGGTGACTTATTTTTCAAGCCAGATACAAGTCGGCGTGTGTGCGCGTGTGTATAAACGTGTGTATTAGTAACGTACTATATATATATATATATATGTGGGTGTAACGTATATACTAAATTTCGTAACTTCATTACCTTATTTTCTAGTTTACCTAAGTCAATAAATGTCCAGAAACGTATAGAAAACCACAGTAAACTTACAAAATCAATAGATAAATTCAGTATTCTTCTCATTAAAGTGCATACAGTCTTCCTTTGATTCATTTTTTATTGTCTCTTATTTGCAGCAAACTTATTATATATCACTAATTACAAAATAGCATTAACTCATCTAAAGTGATAATGCTCTAAATACCAGATCTCTTATGATTCTCTTCTGTTTGAAACCACTGAGCGATATTCAACTGAGAACGAACCTTCTGTTGTTAGAAAGTTATGTGGTTGAAGATAATATAGAGTACATATCGCTTAGATCCATTTCATATTTATCTCCTCCAGTAGAGTACAGTCAAGTGTAATTCCTCTTTTTACAGAACTATCGGAATATACTTACAAAGCAAAACCGTTTCGGGGATACGCAGAATTTGATGTGTAGCCATTGGCAATGTCTAATTCATAACGAAAAGAAGAAATAAATGGCTTTATTTTATTATAGGAAAGGCAAACCGATTTTATATCACAGAAAAGTACTTGACATTCAGTAAGGAATGAAATATAGCTGTGTATCGCACGCTTAAAAAGGGTTCTATGATTTCATATTTCAATAAATCTCACAATATAACGTTTTTATATTTTATGTTTGGAATTTTATAACGAATATTTTCTTGTAACTTTGTAATATTATATCACAATGCAGTAGTTAGACGTACTTGGCATCTTATAAACGGAATGTTTTTGTTGTTGTTGTTTTGTAATAGTTAATTGTTAATAATAGCAATCACTTTAACCAAAGTCGATCTTTTTAAACAGCATTGTTTTCATCTCAAATGTTAGTACTAAAGTAGTAACCAAATAGGCACGCAGCATACGGAGGTAATCACAGCTCAAAACATACTATGATGGTGTTTCTGATCTATGCTTTCGGTGATAATATGACATATACTTTGTATATACTTATATCATCAATCATTGAGGTTTCGAACCGTTAAATGTAGCGCCTTTTATAAAATCGATTCTCTTACACGTCAAAAAAAAAAAAAATACTGAGTATCGGTGCAAAATTTTATTATTAAAGAAAGAGAATCCGGCATAGCCAGGTGGTTAGGGCGCTCGACTCGCAATCTGCGGGTCGCGGGTTCGAATCCTCGTCACACCAAACATGCTCGCCCTTTCAGCATTGGAGGCGTTATAATGTGACGGTCAATCCCACTATTCGTGGGTAAAAGAGTAGCCCAAGAGTTGGCGGTGGGTGGTGATGACTAGCTGCCTTCCCGCTAGTCTTTTACTGCTAAATTAGGGACGGCTAGCGCAGATAGCTCTCGTGTAGCTTTGCGCGAAATTCAAAAACAGACAAACAAACAAACAATTAACATCCAGCTGCACAGCACTCG